TGAGTTGAGTTCGATGCAGAATTTGATGGTGAATAGAATACTTTTGTTTCTAAGAATGGCATTTCAGGGAATATCTTGCAAATCGCTTCGAAAAAAGAGTACTGGAGTAGAAGGAGGAATTTTGACCGACCACCACTCTTGAAAATAGTACCATTTGATTCATCATCAAATTCTGCACCTAACTCAACTTAAGTGGTATACTGAACCGCGACAAAAAAAATGCCGAATATAGTGCTAGCTTTACCGATGTTATTTTTTGCTAAAGCTCAATTGAATTCTAACTTCTCTAACGAGTGTGAAAACACTTCTACAAAAGATAATTTTTTAAAAGTAATTTTTAAAAACATTCAAATCTTTTATATTTGGTAATTTCATAAGAAAATCATATGCATTTGACTGTCTCATAGATTGTTCGATTTGATATTTCGTTGTATTTTCGTTACCGAAAGATATATTTTCGTAAATTGTTGTGAGTGGCGGGCCATCATTGTGGCAAAATATGGCAATTGCCACACCAAAAATTTTTATTCGTTATAGGTTTTTCTGTACGACTGTTTTTTTCGATCCACTCTTTCATCGGGAACCAGCAAAAAGAAAAATAAGACCAGAAGTGACTCCTACTTTTCTATAGAGGTATCCTCAGACAGGTCTCAATTTATCAGTTTTTCCAGAGCTGATATAGACATTGATTATTTATTTGTTCTTTTTTTGGTTTTTATGGAATTTAAAAGTGTCTGCAGGAGAGTTTTTAACTAAGGACAGAAAGATTGGCTAAAGCCTTATGTTTTCAAGTAAATTTGATTCATATTCTATTCTTTGGGTATTATGCTTTGCTATTGGTTTCAAAATCGTAAGGAACAAGTTTCATTAAGACATCTTGGACTTTAAGAAGGTAATGAAGTAATGCTTCTAATTAATCGAAACATATAGTATAAAAATCCTTTGAATATATGTGTTGAAGGTAAAACTGAAATTCAGGCTAATTTAAAATTAGCCTAGACAACATTGAAATTTTATTTTGACTGAGGGAAATTAAAATTTTAACTTTGGAGGGGTGTCCAAGGACTGAGGATTAGGAATTCCTACTCAGCTCCCTGACATTTTCTTGAATGCTAAAATTAAAAAAATACAATATCCACGGTACTTATTACTCTTACACTCGTTTTCATCAAGAAATTTGTGCACATTAACGTATGAATACGAAAATTATTGCAAAAAAAGCATTATTTTGACTTTCATGAATGAGGGAACTTTGATGGAAATAATGGTCAATTTCCATTTCCCCAAGGAATTATCATAGCTATACTGACAATTCCTCTGCAAATTAGGAATTCCTATTTCTCAGTCCTTGGACACTGCTGGTTTTTTGAATAATTCCAGGACGCAAGCAGCTAGAGACTTGGGGTTTTCGCCAATCGAAGAAGGAGATCGGGGGACGTCTTTTTCTCCAATAATGTGTAAGAGAAAATCCTTTTAAAACAAATTATCAGCAGTGTCCAAGGACTGAGAAATAGGAATTCCTAATTTGCAGAGGAATTGTCAGTATAGCTATGATAATTCCTTGGGGAAATGGAAATTGACCATTATTTCCATCAAAGTTCCCTCATTCATGAAAGTCAAAATAATGCTTTTTTTTGCAATAATTTTCGTATTCATACGTTAATGTGCACAAATTTCTTGATGAAAACGAGTGTAAGAGTAATAAGTACCGTGGATATTGTATTTTTTTAATTTTAGCATTCAAGAAAATGTCAGGGAACTGAGTAGGAATTCCTAATCCTCAGTCCTTGAACACCCCTCGAATAAGGAAATGGTATTTTTGAAAAATGACGATATTTCCTAAGTTTTAATCAATGATCTTTAGAGTCGGAAAGTCTAAATCTATAAGCCGTTGCTCTAAACTCAAGAGTTTGATTTTGTCATTAGGGAAAGGATAATTTTTGAAAATAGTGATCTTATTCTATTCCTAGCGAAAAAAAACAAAACTCGGAAATTTCGAGAAGTCACTTATAGATTCGATTCATTGACTTCGAAACCCTTTAACCACAAGTTTAGAAAATATCGTTATTTTTCAAAAATACCTTTTCCTTATTCAACTCAGAAATTTTGCGTTACTCGTGCAGTTACTAGATAAGGCAGCGTTATCGTTATCTGGTAACGTAACTAGCGGGTAACAGTAAAATCCCTTGCATAAATATTGTTGAATAAAATAATTCATTCAAATTTTAATTGTTTTGATAAAGATTTTTTTATGATAAGTTTGTGGTGCCATTTTTTTCATTTTTTTCTCAATTTTTGTAAGAGTGAAAATAATAAATATAAAATGAACAGGATGAATACAACAGAAGCTTTTTAGCATAATAATCGAAGCATGTGAATGAAATTTAAGGCTTGATTTTTTTTGTAAGTTTCTTACACTTTAATAACTTTGCCACACCAAAAACAAATGACCCTGACCGCCAATGAGGTTAGGTATAGTTAGAAGCGGTTAAGTATAGGAATAAGGGATCGAATATAGTTATAAGGGTCTAAGTATAGAAATAAGGGGTTAAGTATAGTTATAAGCAGTAGTGTCCAAGACCTGGAAAATAGGAATTTCTAATCTGTAGGGGAACTGCCAATGTCGCTGTGATAATTCCTCGGAAAAATGAAAATTGACCATGGATTCCCTCATGGTTCTTCTCCCCTCCCATCCATGAAAGCTAAAGGGATGCTTGAATTGAACAAAGCATCTGATTAGTTGTTTAATATGAATTATTCCTTGATCGAGTGTTCCACGCTGATATAATCAACTACAAATCTTTTCTTCGAATTGAAAAACATGTTTGAATAGTTATTTTTTATGAATTATTTCTTAATCGAGTGTTCTTCGATTATATAATCAATTAAAATCTTTATTCTGAATTAAATGAAGCATCTGATTAGTTGTTTATTATGAACTATTCATTGATCGAGTATTCTTCGGTTATATAATCAACGAAAACTCTTTGCTCTGAATTGGACAAAGCATTTGATTGGTTGTTTGGTATGAATTATTCCTTGATCTAGTGTTGATCGGTGATATAAACAATTATAAATGTTTGCTCTGAGTGGAACAAAATATTTGAATATCTTTTCTTATTATTCGTTTGTGGTGTAGTGTATTTGAATGGTAGGTAGTCATCTATCGTTTCTTTGAAGTGAGGAGCATATTTGAATAAGATGTTTAAACGAGATATGTTATGGCAACATAGTATTGATTTTAATTGCTTAAGGATTGTACTAAGAGCTTTGTTTTCGCTGTAGGATAAATGATACAAAAGCAGCATGATACGTTTACAAATGGAAGAGTGTGATTCATCATCAAATCCAAGGAACATTTTCTTTTAGTTAGTTTTCTTTGCTTATTTTTTTTAATTAAATCGCTTCTTTTATTAATATTCTCACAATCTTTCCTCTCTTCGCTTCTTACATGTTTGGTAGTTTTTTGCTTTTCATTTTTTTTTCTCATTCATATTTATTAATTCCAATAAAATACATATAAGTCATATTTGGTTTATACCAATAATGCATGTGCGACAAGAACATCAAAACCTAATACGATATTGAATAAATGAGTATTTTATTCAAGAAGAAAACTTTTGACTTTATTATAATAATGGGAAAAGGCATAGATGAATGACAGTAAATGAAATAATTTATTTTTGTTTTTGTTTTGTTGAATTTTTGGTCATATAATTGCGATCATCATCAGAACAATTTATAAAACATAAATCGAATGTACCAACATCAGCTCGACCAGAACATAAACCACTATTTATAATAATAATAATAACAATAATCAGGGAAGAGAAAAAAGTTAGCGAAATTTTTTCTATCGATATAAATAGAAAAATTTTTGAGAATTTTTTTTCATAGATTATATCATAAGATGCAATGTGAAAAGTTTTACAATTTACATAGACCGGCTTTGCTGAAAGTTGCACTTTTTTTTTTAAAAACAATCAAACTCGAAGCAACCAAATTTTGACGCTGCGAAAAAGACTTTGTTATACATGACGGGTTTTTTGTGATCTTTTCACTTTTTGTAGATTTTGAAAACAAAAAGTGCAACTTTACTCAGAGCCGTCTTATGTAAATTGTGGAGTTTTTCACGCTGTATCTTCTGGTACATTTTGTATTTTCAGTAAAACATATCAGATAATGAAAGATTAGAGAAGAAAAATGAACTCCTCATGTACCAAAAAAATATCGTTTTCGTATGGTCGAAATTTACTTGCTCAAAATTTTATCGATTTTGAAAAAGAAAAATTGCAAATATAAAATAAATGGTCTTATCTAAATTGTAGAGCTTATCACACTGCATCTTATCATATAATTTATGGAAAAAAGTTCTCAAAAATTTTTCTATTGATATCGATCGAAAAAATTCCGCGAACTTTTTTTCCTTACATTAATAATAATAATTGGACTTGTGAGTGTTCATGTAGAATAAACAAATACAGGGCGTTTCATAAGTTTTAAGGCTTGTTAAAAATTAACTTTTATATAAACAAAAAACGATCTCAAATCAAATATGCTTATATAAAATGTGAGTATTCGTGACGGGCTTTCAAATGGTGCATTATGATAATATATCTTCTCTTGTGATAGTAAAAGTATAAGCATGACAATGTTATGATAAATTTTTTGAAATCGGCTAATATCAATTATCTTATTATAAAAAAGAAAATCATTCTTGTTTACAAAAAAATATTAATTCTATTCGACAAATATATGGTTTAACTATCATGTATCTTTTCTCCATCATTTTTAATCATTTCGTCGAGTCTGTTAGAAATTTTATTAATCAACTTTTTACAATCATCACAAGTAATCTTTTTCCATTCTTTGTTCAATCTCATTTTTAGCTGTTCAAAATTTGAAAATTGTTCGCCTTGTACTTTTTTCTTTAGAATTTCCCATATATTCCCAATAGGCCAGACATCGGCAAATTTAGCATCACCTTCTTCTGGTAAAATTCAATCATTAAATAATTTATCAACAGTTCGTAATACAATTTTGGTTCGTTGCTTTGAGTCAGTATCATCTTGAAATATAAAATCTCTTCCACATACCTTCTGAGTTTCTGGATGAGCAACTTCTTTAATAAATTTAGCATATAAATGACCATTCATATAAGTTCTTTTCTTTTTATCTGTTGGTTGCTTTTTCAACCATGATATGACATCAATTGCACTATTTTTGGGAATTAGTCCTTCATATAAGATGCCACCCCAAAAAACAATACCACTTGCAAATTTTCTTGTTGGTCGTTCACGGGATATTGATGGTATTTCTTCAAATCTTGTTGCCCAAATACCTTTGTTGTGTGGATTTGAATGTGATTCTAAGATGAACTTTCTCGAAAACTCCATGTTAATAATTTTATTCCACACTCATTTACTTGATCTTTTTGTAACACCAAAATTTCTTTTTAACTTCTTGGCACATTTAACACGTTGTACTTTATTATCATATGTCAGTTTTTGTATTCTTCTTTTTTTAAACCATTTTAATCCGGCTAATCGGACAATCCTGTAAACTGAAGATGGTGACGATTTCCAACCAATTTTTTCAGATCTTGCTGCTACATTTCTAACACTAGCTTTATCTTGATTCTGAATTTTTTTTAATACCAAATTTCTCTAAGATGTAGTTGTAGTTGTTCGTGATCAACCAGGTCTTTCTCTTTCACAAACTGCTCCTCTTGCTAATATATAATGATTTTTGTTTACTAAAGCATGCCGATTTAAATGTGGTGGATTATCTGATTGTTCGAAGGAATCAGCAATATTAGGCACAGTCTAGCTATGTCGAAACGAACATCAAATAAAACTGAATTAAAAAAGAAAAATATATAAGAATAATAGTAATAGTCATGTACTTTTCTATGATTTATTTGTTTTATCCGAATCTAGTAATAAAACGAACAATCACACTTTGAATTTAATAAACGTTTCAAATAAGAAAAAGATATGAACGTTACCGATGAAAAAAAAGTTTACGTTCTGCACAGTCATGTGATGCGTTCATATATTTTTTTCTTTTTCAATTCGATTACTGAGTATATAGTGAGGTTAAACATGTGATCTATACTTCATAATGAGCGTCGAATAACCGATTAAGATCACTAGTTCTTGGCTCTTGCTACACTTTTTTTAATGAAAAATGAGCCTAAGACCTTTTTTAAAAAATCTGTAAAAATTCATGTTGGTCGATTTTGAAAAATTTATCATAACATTGTCACGCTTATATTTTTACTATTACAAGAGAAGATATATTATCATAATACACCATTTGAAAGTCCGTCACGAATACTCACATTACATATAAAAATCTTTGATTTGAGTTCATTTTTTGTTTATATAAAAGTTAATTTTTAACAAGCCTTAAAACTTATGAAACACTCTGTATGTGCTATAACTTGAAATAAAATCTTTCTTGATGAATATTTTCAAAAACGATACAACAATATCAGCTTAAAAGAACAATATCGCCTCAATTCATAGCGTATTTTCAATGAAAAAATCTAAAATTGATAACAGTGAAGTGAAGAATCTACGCAGCGAAATTTCTTATTCTATCATTCATCATTAATACAATAAAATCAATTTTCTTTTTCTTTGTATACAATTTAGCAATGATTGATTCATAGGTGAATTTTTTTTTATACAAAGACAAAATAGAAAAATTCAAACTAAGTGATATATAAATATTCAAAAATAAAAATGTCTAATTTAAGCGTAGACAATGTGGTAATTGCCTAATGAACGATTTTTATCATCAAGTGCTTGTTTAAATGTTCCCACACTAACTTGTCCATGTTCATTATTAGCAGCTGCTGTTGTCCATGCATAAACAAAATCTTCACCTGATACAGTAATATTTGCATTAGCAAATATATCACGTATTTCTTCCATGGTTTTTGGTGCTAATAAATCATCTTCAGTTAAACCACGATCACTCCATATTGATGGTGATAATAAAGCACCAACAATTGTATTTGAACCAAGTGGCGGTCGGTTTTTATGATTTGCTGTTGGTATAGCATATTGACTACGTGCAATAATTGATGGTAAACCATATTGACGTTTAACTTGTGGTTCAAGACGAAATGGTGCTTCATTAATTTTATCATAACTTGTTTTCCAACCATCGGGTACCATTTCATCAATTTGTGATATAAGTTTACGTGGATAATATTTTCCATTTGTACTTTCAATAAGATCAGAAATATTTAATAATGGTCGACCTTGATTATCTTTTATAATTCCAGTTTGAATCTTATTATTATTTTTCTTTTTTTCTTCATTTATAAATTGTTCAAGACCACTTGAATGTGCAATACGATAACAAAGAAAATTACTAAATTCAAGAAAATTTAATCTTCCATCACGATCTTGATCACATTGAAACATTAATGCAGCAATAAGACCATCAGATAATTCAAGATTAAAATTTTTTTCTATTGTATTCGTTAATTCATGTATAGATATAAAACCATCTTGATTTGTATCATAATATTGAAATGCTTGTAATTGTGTTTTAAATGTTGTCATATGAAGTGAACATAATTGTGAACGTAATTTAGCTAAAGCAGCTTGAGATTTTTCATCAAATACAGCTGGAACATTTGCTCGTTGATGAATTATTTCACCGGCTGATAGCCGATCAGATCCTGTTGCTACTCCAAATCGATGATCGACAGGTAAACCAGTTTCAGCAAGAAAACGACGTGTACGTATAGCAGCATTATCACAACGAGATTCATCATATTCATTGACAGTTTGTGTTACAATTGGTGTCGTATGATTTGGTCGAATCCATATTAGAGATTCACGTGCATGACGACCATCAGCATAGACTGGCGTTGGAACACCATGAGTTTGATAACGAATCAATTCACCATTTTCATAATGACGTTCAAGTTGTTCACCTGGTTCAAACTCTTTATGACTGAAGAGATACCTGAACAAAAAACAAAAAGTTTAAATATTTAGAATTATAAAGATACTACATTGTAAAATTCTTTCAAAAAAAAAAAGAAACACATATATCGTCTTACATGCTTCGTGGTTGTTCAAATTCATATTCAATTTGTGCTTGTGATTTATTTGGATTAATAAGATCTCCTGCTTTTTCACTCGAACGTGTTGGAATTCCAAATGTTGTTTTATATTTATTAATTGTTGATGGTAATGAATTTTCTTGTTTTATTCTTTGTCTATTTCTGTCATAAACAAGTTCATTTAAATTAAATAAACGATTTTCGAAAGTTGTTTTTGGTTTAGGATTAATTATTTCTCCATTTTTTCCATCACCTAAATTCATTTGATCACCATGTATTTCATCACGATGATTTGGATCATAAGCACGTCCAGGATGAATTCGAGGACGAGATACATCAGGTGCTGTATAATTACGGTAACGTTGTACAACTTCAGGCGTAGAAAATTCAACTGGTTTATCAGTTAAAACTTCCCATAACTGATCATGTGTTAAAGCTTGTTTTACCGTAGATGCCATTGACAAAAAAAAAAAGAAATATTACTTTATGTTTGCTTCTTACAACTTCTATCGTCAATCTATATGTTTGTTCGGATGCCAAGCAACGATAAACGAACGAACGAACAAACGAAGAACAAGCTTATATCTTTTTTCTTTTTTATTCTTTTTTTTTTCTATTCTCAATCATCAACATAGAATATTTGTAACTTACGTTTTGTTTTTTGTTTTTTTTGTTAACAAAAAAAAAAATACTGAAAACTATGTTTGTTATTTATTATTTCAATTATATGAAAAGGAATAAATGATCTATATTGAAAATCTTCAATACAACAAAAAAGAAATATTGTATGATTCTAAAAAACATTGAATAATATAAATGACTTGAAATAACTTTATGATCCACTTGATCATCGGTTACACAAGCAATTACTTAAGAACCAAACATTTATCGCTTTTTATTCAATAGATTATCAGATATTGTTACTAGGTGTAGCCAAAGATTAATATCACCAAATGTGAACTTAATAATTCTAAAAAAGGAATCAATAACAATGATATACAGTTAGTATCAAAATTATTCAAAAAAAAAATCTTTTTTTCAATTTCCTATACAGAAACCATTTTTTTAACCTTCAACCAAATTGTTGCATCTGAGCCAAAAAACATCTCATTTTGTAGAGGATGGTTTAATCTATCGTTCTATATAGTCTAAAGAAAAATTAGATTTATCTGTTCTAGGTGTTGAAAAACGAGGATTTGGATTTTCTAGAATTCCTATCTTTGTGCATCTTATAATAATTTTCATTTTCGTATATTCTTGTTTGAGACCATTTTCTACTATTTAGATTCTTTCTAACGTTTACGGCGGCAGCAGAAAAAACTGAAAATAAATTTTGGCACTCACGGTACGGTATGTATGTGTTATCAAGAATTTCAAAATAAGAGAGATTGATTATTAATTCATTGATATTTTATAATGTATTTCGATTAATTTAATTACATCAATAAAAATGAAATAATGCTTTTCTATAGAAGACTAATTACTTTTTGAATGCCATCGTCTTCCTGAATCTGATAGTATATCAAAATTCTATGGAAATTACTCAAATGGAATAATCGATTCCATTTCGTATATTCGGAGAACATATAATATGATATTAAGAGAAAGTTTTTATTATTTATGATGAAAATCTTACAGCATAGAAATACTAACGACACTGAAGATTAAAGAAAAATCTGTAGACCATCTTGCAAAATTCTGAACTAGAGATGTGTGAATCGTATGCATTACACAAATGATAAATCAGATCATTCGTGTTTTTGAATATATCAGTCAATGGATGCAAATCAATGCATATCTTCAAAAAATGATGAATATGAGATAATACAAGCTGTGAAAAGGCAATCATATTCGTAGTGCTGACATAATCTTTTCAAAGATTGATAAATCGAGAAGAAAAATCGAAAGTTTTTCTAACTCATAAGCAAAAAATTTCTTCCGAGTTGTAGCGGAATCACCCACATTCTCGATAACTCAATATAAATAAGTACACAATATGTTTCACAAAATACAAAGACAAAAACTATCGTCCAAATACTGATGTCTATCAGTTTTGATTGACATAACTTTGAAGCTTAACAAGCATACGAAGGAATTGAAGTCGATATCAGTTCCTATGTAAATCTCTAATTCTAAAAGTTCATGGCTGTTTCAAGATGCTAATGATAGGGAATGGTATACATGGTTTTACTGCCAACTGTAATATCAGTTATTTGTCATGGTCTAGGTTGTGCAAATTCATTCAGTATCAACCGTATTTTTCGTAAATCGAATATGAGGATCTCTACTAATTACCAATCACTTCTACACACGTCTTATATGTTCCGTCGGAAGACAATTATTTAAAAATTCTTGATATTTATATGAAAAAAGATTTACTCACTAAAACACTTTCTGTTGAAACTTGACTAATAGTTATGTAGCAATGAAGATATTATACGATAAGTTCATCAGCATGATTTATTGAGATTATATTTTATTAACACTGATAAGTAAAAAGATCAAAAGAAGAAAAAAAAGAGTGATACTCTTCTGATGGATCGAAGATAACAACTAATAAACTGCTACTTCTACTGTTGAACAATATAAAAACGGAGGGCAAATATTGAAAAGAAAAAAGACCGATGACCAAAAGACAATAGTTAAAATCTTAGCATTAACAATGTCATCTATTGATACTAACACTGATTTTAGACAATCTCTTATATTTAAGAGAGAAACTGTAAACAACAACTATATCGGAACATTTGTCGTCAAATGAATGTGTTCTAAACACTCGGAAAAATCTTGCTATTCGTTATAATCTTTTAAGAATGAATATTTTTTCAGAGATTTATTCAATACTTATGTCAATAGAATTGATGAATAGAGTCCTCTGAAAAATAAAATAAAGCAAATCTTATCAATATTTCCTCCTAATCTTCAAATGGCAAATAGTAATGTACTTGTACAAGATTCTACTAATAACATGTCAAATGTCTATTTCTAGTAATAGCAATCTGATAACTTTTGATAATTGAAAAGTTGTCACAACCTTGTAAATGTCTCGATCAAAACGTTCTTTTACACATATATTTTTTTTTTGATTATTTGATTCTTCATTGTTCAATTTACTATGAAGACAAAAAGAATACTTGTGTCCAACTGTAATCATTGTCAAAAGAGAAATTCTATATCGATAATTGACCATGCCTACTTTGTTTCTAAATGGACAACTCATAGAACAAATATTCTTTTTATATTGTTCATTATTGATCACATTCAATATATTGTTTGATTACATAATAGATCTATTTTCTTTCATTGCATTACAATGACTGTATTGTAGCACACGTCATATTCCTGAAGGCTAATAATGTCATTGTGGCGGGCGTCCATTGATTGTTGAAGCATATAGCGACGCACTTTCTTCATCAAATTCCCAGTAAATGCCGACAAATCTGTTCAATCGACCATTTTCTTCTATCAATTGTTTGATATATCTTAACATATTACGTATTTTAATCGAAAGAATTTATTCATCTGTCTATCTGTCTGTCTGTCTACGTTGAAATAGCAAAAATAAATTAAAAGTCACGTTTACATTTGAATAAAATATACTTCTAAACTTTGAATATCTAATGAACTTCTGACTATCAAATAACTATATAAGATGATTTCTTTTTTTTTTTTTTTTCTTATCTATTTATGTTTTCTATTCACATCATTGACAGAGATGTAATTACAAGAATATGAAAAAAAAAAGAAAATATACATAGCGAGTCAAAGGACGCTCTTCCATCTTTCACCCCTGCTGGCACTTTTATACACACATCTGCTTACTGATTTTGCTCATAGAGCTTTATCGAGTGCTGGGTGTGTCGGTCAGGAGAAAGAATTAGTAATGAGGCTGACCAATCGAGAATAAAAAGGCGAACATTGTTCATCAACGTCTCCCTCCTATTCTTTTTCTTTCCCCACCCTCGTTTTCCTCTTGATGTATGAAGAGAAGAGAGGAAAATCCCGCCGTCATCATTGTCGTCGACGAGACGTGTGCATACGCATGTTGAACGAGAGTATATACTAGAAGCATGTTATAGAAGAGAGAAGAAAAAAAATACGGATGATGGTAGTTAAAGAAGAGAAGTAGAACAAGAGAGAACGGACCAGCGTGTGGAGAGAACATCTATTGCTTTTTTTCTCTGACAACAAATAGTACGAACAAACAGCAATTTGCATTCATAGGTTTAGGTAAAAAAAAAAATTGAACAACAATAATAACAATTATTCTCTTCTGACCGATTATGACATCGTCTTCTTTTACTACGCATACTATCTATTGAACAAATATATTCAACTGATCCATTGATACAGACAAAACTATGCCATACCAATATCAACTTTAATCCATATACTCGTAATCATCAATCATCAATTATCTACGTTATTCTCTCATCGTTTCCATCTCTCAACTATTTACATAATTGAACACATTTTTTTATATGATGATATATAATTAATTTCAAAAATGAATATAATGGAAAATGCTGAAAAAGAATGTGCCATACTTGGCTCATTATTTCAAGGAATTGTTAATGAAATGAAGGTTTGTATTAATATATACGATAATCTTTAATTGTTGCCCGTTAGCCAAAAAAAAAAAAAGAAAATGTTACATCTGCTTGGTAAAAAAGCATATTAATATGAAGACCTTTTAATACCAAGGTTTTCATCATTATATGCATTAATTATAGTTCTTAGCGGAAAGAAAGATCATTATACTTTTTTTTGAACAAAAAACAAAAACAAAATGAATATTTTCTTTTTCATTTTTTTTTTGTATTTTAGAACAGTTCAACATTATGGGAAGATTTAGTGTCAAAAGCAAACAAAATGCATCTTCAACTTAAGTAATTCTAATATAATTCTGTTTTATCAACCTTGAAAATTCATATTGAACTATAGAAGAAGAAGAAGAATACTATTATGCACGAGACATTCATTGTATTTGCCTGATCGAATCAACAAGAAAAGTATTTGACAAGAAATACTGTTATGATTACAGTCATAGCTGATTTTCTTTTATGTCTATCATAAACTATATATATATATATCTTTTCATTGATAAGTATGATCGATAATTGAATGATATACATGCACGCCAACCAAGTAATACTTGTTTGAAGAGAAAAGAGTTAGTTTGTTTCAGCTGTCACAATAATTTCTTCAATAGTCATTAGCACTTGAATGAGTACTGATATTATAGACTAGTAGACTAGACAATCATTAGTTATCATGAATGAAAAGAAAAAAGAAAAGAAAGAGTGCGTGTGTGTGTGTGTGTATGACCAATATAAAGTATATACCTTTCAGCTTAGCCGACACACTGGATAGAAGAGAAATGGGTCTATATAAAATTAGTTATTTTGATATTTACAAACTGATCCTGTTCATTTTTTTTTCTTTGTGTAAATGTCAATGAGGATTTTTATTTTAATAGTTTACAATTTATCACATGATTCATTTGATATGATAAATCGTCTATACACATCTGTCATTGAACATAATTACTATTGTCTTTTCATCTTTTTTTTTTTTTTGTTTTTGTCATATAGATCAACAATTATGACTTTCGGTCTTTTTCTTGATGCTTTTCAACGTATTGCTGATTTAGCAACAAATACAAAAGGTGCAACAAAAGATATTGGTACAGCCTTAACACGTATAATTTTACGTCATAAATCAATTGAACAAAAATTAAAATGTTTTACAAATTCATTTATTGAAACATTTATTCAACCATTAAATGATTGTATTGAAGAATGGAAAAAATCTGCAAATATATTAGATAAAGATCATGCAAAAGGTCTCAAAGGTATATGTTTTTTTATTTTCTTATTCTTTTTATATAATTAATTTTATTTATAGATTATAAAAAATTACGTAATGAACTACGTAAGAAAGCATCGGAAACAATTAAATTACAAAAAAAATGTAAAAAATGTAAGTTAAATATAATTAATAAATAATTTATTATCTTTTCTTTTTTTTTTTTGTTTCTTGCTTTCTCAAGTGCCGAAACATGATATTCTTCATAATAAATTACATTCAGCAATACAAGAAGTATCAAATTATTATGGAATGTTAGAAGAACGTGAAAAACAAGCACTTCGATCAGCTATGATGGAAGAACGTAGTCATTTTTGTACATTATTTACTTTATTAAAACCAGCTATGGTATGTTTATTAGTTTGAATAAAACAAAAACAAAAACAAAAAAAATTCAACAAGAGATTTTTTGTTTTTGTCTACTCTAGGAACTTGAAATTTCACTTGCATCTGATATGAGTCATATTGAAGATCTTGTACAATGTTTAAATAAACATACAAGTGATCCACATTGTTTACCATTATCTAGTGAACAAGTTATTAAAGATATAAAAGGAATTGATTATAGTACTATTGTAGCATTTAAAGTAAGTTTATATAAATTAAATATTATAAAAAAAAAAAACGAAAAAAGGTAAATATTTAATATAGACTCCACCTTCATCACCTGGTTCATTAAGTTCACGTAAATCAAGTGTTTGTTCAATAAATAGTATCAGTAGTTCATCATCAAATTCAACAAATAATTCACGAAGTCCAAATCATAAACAACATCAATCACAAATACCTTTACCAATTCAACATCAATTTTATCATTCAAATACAAATCGAACATTATCAATGCCTGTATGAATGAATGAAAAACAAAAAATTCTTTTAAATCTTGTGAAACACGATCTAAAAATATACACAGATAATTACCGTCGAGATCGACAGACAGCCACAAATGTCTTAGCAGGAAAGAAAGAATATTCCTATCTTTCAGCTATCTTGCAGCCTAGGATGTTACCTACAGTGTCAGATTCATTAACCCAATATTTTCTCTACACTTAATACTAGTTGTAGCCCTGGATAGGAGACCGTCCTAATGTAGAATTCATGCGCTCAATTATTTGAGTTCTCCATACATATTGACTGGCTACGAGGGTGGGTGTATGTCACAACTTACTCAGCATACTATCGAAAAGATAATCTGAGACAAATAGCCGTTAGTGACTTGTCTAAGGTTATTGCATGGCTAATGGTATCAACATTTGAACATAGTATCTATTGAATATGTACTGAATGATGTTTCCACTCAGCCACGACTATCGTGATGTATTAGCAACATTTCCTTATTCCCGTGTCATAGATTGTGACAACTGTTATTGATATATGATCAAAAATTGTATATGAATAATGTCTCTTTATAATATATGAATTACTTCCTTATTGTATTTTTCTGGAGAAGAATCGTGAAGGAATATATCTTAAAATAGATAGAATAAATCGTCTTCCTGTGATTAGTAATAGTAACTACATCGTGTTTCACATTTTAATCCCATAGGGATTTCGCCAATAACTTCTTTTTTTTTGTTTTATCTTTTCATATTTAGTCAAATGTAGCAGTGAGTCGTATATCAAGTATTTCATCACAAGATTCAGGTTTTACATCTCAAGAACAGTTTTTTGCTCGACCTCCATCACCATTAGAAGAAGCTGAAGTAAATAAAAAAAAAACAAAATGCTCATATCTCTTTCGATAATTTAAAAACAATTAATATTTTCAAATCTAGCGTGAAGTTGATGGAAGTACAAGTCCATTATTAGTTGTTTGTTCTACATTAAATGCTTGGGCTAAACGACCTGAAATTCCATCAAATTGTAAACTTCCAGCAACAGTAACTGGTGCACCAGAACCAATGAAAAATTGTCGACCAGCAATCACGGCACATACATTTGATCCTCCACCAGCTAGTTTATTTGAAAAACCAAATTGGCAAATAAATGAAGATACAAATTCACGAACATCAACTGTTTGTATTTTTTTTTTGATTTTTATAGAATATATAGAGAGAAAAAAAACCAAGAAGAATTTAATTTACAATAGATATCTGATAATAATAATACATTATCTCGTCAACATTCAGTTCCTTCACGTCGTTATCGAATGCATGATCTTAATCTTGAAAGACATTCACCAATGAAAGAACAATTAACAATAAATCATATTAATAATGGACGTGTTTGTTCAATTCAATCATCAACTATACCACAAGAATATTATGGAACTATTATTGAACAACATAATTCAGGTATTCATTAATAATCTTATATAAACTAAAGTATTTAATTTCATACAATCTATTTATGTTAAGAAGAAAAACAAAAATCATTTATTGTACAGCAGTAGAACGGAAGAGACATGACGTTAATAATATTAATTAGTTGTTCATTGGAGAGTCAAGGTTGTCTTATATATACCATAATATATATTATCATAATTGTCATTTTCTGAAGGTTTCAGTTAAACATAAGGTCTTTATTTCTGCTTAAGCGATAACAAAGAGATTTAATGAATTTGTGTTAATTAATACATAACCTTCGGAATAGTCATAGATGTAGTATTTGTCATCTATCTTATTTTAAATTATTTCTTTGAAATATTATCAACGATGATGAAAAAAAACGATTGGTTCACTACAAGACTATTTTCATTCATATGTATTGAATGAGAGTAATTTTTTTCTCATTATATTACTTAGTAATAAAAATCTCTATGGAATAAATGCATAAAACATGTTGCAATTGTTTTTATTATAAACAAAAGGATTTTAATTTATATTCTCCTAAGATTTGTCAGCTAGTACATCTCGTGACAAAAAGACGATGTTAATTAAAATGTTGTAGAATAATATGTCGGTACAAACAACAGACAGATTAAACTTCCTGTCATAGAATAGAATCAACGGAAATCTATAACAAGTCACATCTGATCAAGAATTATAGCTATATAATTATAATTTTTCTTTTGTTTTTTTCAGGAGACATCAATCAATGTCTTCGAAATGGTTCATTACCATCGGAAACCCTGGTAAGAAATATTTTGTATTTTTAAATCTAACCACGAAAGTCCTTCAACTGATTAATTATTTTTGAAGCAACCCTATATGCATCGTGTAGATTCAAATGAGTTTTGAATTTGTTGAGAGGAGTTCGAATCCTTAGCTTATTATTATCTAGGTATCAAAAGTTTACGATATTTTTTAAATGAATGACATATTTCTCCCCTGAAGAGTATCAGGAAAACTGATTTTCGAATTTCAACTTGAAGTTTTAACGAGAGTAGATTATTGTCAAGATTTTAAATCTTTTGATTTGCTTCTATTCTAAAATAACAATATCGAATCTGCTATTATATGTGAAGGATGTAACAGATCTACTTTTATCATAACTGTATCTTAAGATAACAGCCACAAGCAACTATTCTTGTTCAAGGGTATGTCTGTACAAATTTTCAAGTTGAAAAGTGAAAATCAATATTCCTGATGTTTCTGAAGGGAATCACGACATTCATTTAAAAAATATCGTAAAACGACAGTATCTCAGCAGCAATAGGATAAGGCTTTGAATTGTTTTCATGGAATTCATAGCTTATTCGATGCTACATGATGCACGCAGTCTCGATTTGAAAGCGATTGTGGAACTTCTCTCATAAACATTTTTAAAAAAAAATATTTTTCTATAGGTATCTAATACACGAGCAATTGTATGGCGTGATCGTTTACGTCAAAATGGTAATTGTACTTACAATATTTCTGATGGTAGACCATCATTTGAATCTGCTGATGAAACACTTGATGAAAGTAAGTTTATTGAAAATTTTTTCTTTGTTATAATTTCAATTAAATTTTTTAGTGTATGATTATTTAACAAAAAGTATGTCCTAATTTTAAAGAAATTTTTACATATAAAAAAAAAAAAAAAACTAAAAATTTTTTTTTGTAGGCATTCATTCATCTAATCAACAACAACAACAAAAAAATGAAATACTTCGTCGTGGTACGTTAATAACTTCAAATCATAATGAAAAACCTATACCACCAATACGTCGTACACCATCAATGAATACAAATATTCAACAAACAAATAATACATGTGTTAAAGTTCGTTTAAAATGTGTTCAAGAAATAATTCAATCAAATACTAATGATGATTTTCCTCCACCACCAGAATTTCTTTTATCTAATGATTTAAAATCAGAAAAATTATCAGTAACAACCGCTCATTCATCATTACTTGAAGAAATTCAACGTGGTAGTTTTAAATTACGTAAAACGGCGATTAATCAAGATAGATCAGCTCCACGTATCAAATAAATAAACTTTCATTTTTGTTTTCTCAGGAATGTTTGTTTTTTTTTGTGCAAATGATCAACCATATTTATATTTAGTCTTGACAAATGACAATAAGAGTTCTTTTTTTTTTTTGTATATAACTTATATAATCAAATTTATTCATGTATTATTCTTTGTGAAATTTTGTTTTTTGTTGTTGTTGTTGTTGTTGTCGTCTGTTTTCTTTTTCAAAGACAAGCATCATACTCACATCATATAGTTCGATTTTTTTTTGCTAATGATATTGCTGGGAAAAGTATACAGATGTGTGATGTGTGGGAAGAAGAAGAAGAAGATATAGTGAGAAAAAGTATGGTTGATAAATTGAATTGATTTCATTTTTACGAAGAGGTACTTTTTCGAAAATGAAGTATTCTGGTAATATGAAAATGTTTTTTTTTTTAGTATTATTTTATTTGAAAATAATTTTGTTTTAAATAGTTATTTATTCAGCATTCATCTTTGCAATTGTTTTATTTGCTGGTTCAAAGGTTCAAGGTGCTTCATCATATTCATCGAGATATTTAGCAAAAAAGGTTAAGAGAAATTTTATATTTTAAATATATACAGGACATAGATGGAACTAGTAACGGTAATCAATCGGTTAGATACCTGTATACCCTATCTGTTTTTCTGAGCCTATTAGAAATCATTGTTGAGATTAAACTAGCTTTATATAAAAAATGAACGAAGGCAATCGTCTTTCACCTTCAAAGTGGATATTCTTTAATTAATGGGAAGCGAATACTAGAGCCCGTACAGACTCGGATCTGAAAAATTTCAAACAACCAGGTCCGGATCTAGAAATTTTGAATCCGACGGATTAAAGCGAATACAGAGATGCAATTAGTACCGGCACGGAGCTTAAACCGGGTAGTCCATTTTTGACATATGACCCATCCGAAAGAGAGCTTTGAAGAGTTCGAGTCTACATCAAAATCAAACAAAATAAATTCAAATTCGTTTTATACATAGATTATATCTGTGAGATTAATGAGTATGACTTTTGTAAATACATAAATAACTGATTTATGTAGGAATACAGACGTGTTAGATTAAATCTAATCAGATTTTTGAAAATAATACGCAAAATGAACAGGTAAAAATGATTGATAATAGTAAGAAAAATGTTATTTTAATACGTACAGACGTCTGTGTATAGCAATCGATTTTTTTTTATCGAAAAAGAAAAATAAATCTCAAATATTTGCTTTTCATTCTCAAGATAAGTAAATTAGAGCGAACGTTTTGTGAAAGCGAAAATTTCTAGACTAAATAGTTGACTATTTTTTCGTGTATTTCAATGCATTGATAGCATATTAAAATCAGAATTTTGTACTTTTGAAAAAAATGGCAGAATTATGATAGAAGAGTCATTTTGTGTTGAAAATGCACAAAATAGCAATTTTTCTTGCGATAGATTTTATCAAATTCTTTACTGCATCGCAACAGTTTACAAAAAATTTATCAATTTGTTGAGAATTATTTTCTGTATCTTCCATAGAATTTTTTTCTTCGAAAGAAAATTTTTGAGTATTTTCAAGATTCATTTGTAGCTCAAAAACCACAACTACCAATGTATTTAAATATGAGAAAAATAGCGAAATATTTTATGTAGAAACTGTCGACCTACTCTCGAGTTAGATACATCGTTCTACGAAATATTGTGATTAAAATGATTGAAATATCTTCCCGTTGGATCTGCATTATTACATTCCAAATAATCTGAAATTATTTTTATGAAAAATTAGTAAAGAAATCTAGGTTTTAAATGATTTTAAAATTTTATATAAATATATCTCATTTATTATTTAATAGAGAAATGTAGCCGAAGGTCGTATTGAACCAGTTACAACAACTCTCGTAAGTATTGTTGTTTTTTTCTTTAGTTGTATTCAATGTTCTACTAGTTTTTTTTTATTAAAAGATTGTGTCGGCCGTTGCTCCTATAGTTGTTAGTCTCTTTACTGGTCTTTTGGGTAATTTATTCAGTAAACCTAATGATACTGAACAGGTTTCTATGATAAATTATTCAAATCAAATATATTCAATACATATATAATTTTTCTAGCGTGTTGTTTATGGTCGACCAATGCAAGTCAAATTATGTGGTGCTGAAAATTGTATACAATTATTAGATAAAGGTTCAGGTTTAACAACAGTTGGTAAAGGTGATACAATTCAACATGCATTGGGTGATGCTACTGGTGCAATGTTAACAACTTTATTACAAAGAAATTTATTAAGCATGCATGATTTATGTCGTGAACATATTCATTTTCCTCATCCAGATAAAGCAAATTGTCCTGGTGTAGAAATTAATACATGTGAACTTAGTAAACCTGTACTACCTCAACGTAAATATAACAATAAGAAATTGATACAAAAACCAAAAAAAAATGTTTTTCTTTTTGTTGAATTTCTTTAGCTGCATGTATGGACTCACATGGTGATAAATATTGTAAAGGTATGAAAACGCATTGTAAGGATACTATGTTTTCAACATTTATGATGCAAAATTGTTATAAGACATGCACGTATGTTAGAGGAGAAAAAAACTGGAATTCATTTTGATACATGTAAAAATGCTTTTCTTTTTTTTTTTTAGAAACGATTGCTACAAGCCACCACCTGGTCCATGTGATTACTAAACATAAAAAAAGAGGTTCATGGCTACTTCATTTTATCTAAAATAAAGAAATAAAAATTGATAATTAAACTTATTAGATGTTTTATTATTCTATAGCATGCACGAAAATTATTTAAAAAAAGCAAGAAAAGAAAAAAGAGATTATTTTGTTTAAACTTTTGGATTTTTTGAGTCTATTTCCATTAATTCTTCAGCTGCATCAGGATCATTTTTGTTATGTTCATCATGTATATTATCACGTGCCCAAGGTTCTGTTTCACCAAGAGCTAACAATGAAAAAGCAATAGCTGATATAAGAAATGATGCAGAATAAAGCGTAAATGCAATTTTCCATTGAGCAGTTGTTTTCTAAATACAAAACAACAAAGTACATAAAATAATATATTTAAAACAAATATTGATTAAAAATACAAACATTTTTTGTAATAATACTTGTTAAATATGGAGCACAAAATCCGCCAATACTTGCTAAAAGAAAACAATGAATAGAATTGATTTTTAATAATAAATATATTAGAATCTATTCATACAAATTGTATTGCAAATACCAAAAACAACACCTGAATGAACACCACTAAAATCTCCAACATTAACAATGTAACCGCCTGACAACATGAGACCACTAAACAAAGAATTTTTGTTTTTTGTTTTTTAAATAAAATCTTATATGATATTATACTTGAATGCTATTCCAATAACTAATAAACCAACTGCTAGATAACGACGTTGACAATCAAGAAATGATATCAATAAAAGACAAATAGCTGGTGCTAAAGTACCAATACCATGAAATAATTTTCTTGCATTAACACGTGTTAAATATTTTTTTTTTATTATAAAATCAGCTAAACCACCTGTTGACAAAACAACAATAAAACTTGCTATGTGTGGTAATGCTGAAAGAAGACCATTTTCTTCAATACTAAATAATAAAACTTCATTCATATATTCAGGAACAACTGTCCAAACAGCTATTAGAATATAACAAATTAACAATTACTAAACAAAAACAAAAACAAAAATTATACAAAACCATAAAGACCAAAATCACAAAAAAACATTGATACAAGAATACACCAAAAACCTTGAGATCGAAGCATTGGTCCCCATGGTGTTTTCTAATATTATGAATAAAATATAAAAAAAACAATAAAAGAATTATAAATAAATATTATTCTTACCGTCTTTGTATCTTGAATTTTTTCATCTGCCTTACATGTTCGAATATATTCTTTTTCATTTGCTGACATATGTTTATTTGTTACTGGTGTATCACTTGCAAAAAAAAACCAACAAATTGACCATATAATACCAAGACCACCTAAATTTAAATAAATTTATTATTTATTAAAATAATAAAGTTCTTTTTTACCAAGAAGATATAAAAAATATGCCCAACCATAACGAAAAAAAAATGGTATTCTATCATTTAATGTAAATGTACAAAAAAAACCACCAATTATTAATGAAATAATTGTACCCATAGAAGGTCCTAAATAATATTTCTTTTGAAATATTTAAATGAAAAATTTTGAAAAAAATTTACCAGAACTTTGAAATGAAAGAAGTGTTGTTCGTTCAGATGCTGGTGCCCATGTTGACCAAAAACGAAAAATACTTGGCCAAATACCACCCTATTATATATATAAATAATAAGAACAAAATATTTAATCAATAAATTACTTAAATAGTCACTTAGTCATGAATCAAGTTTATTAATAAATTTAAAGATCAGCTAATAAAATTTGATAATGTTGACGGAATAGAACAAGGTTGTCGATAGAATGGAACGGTTCCAAAAAAATTGGAACTAAGAATCGAATCGAAATTGGCTTTTTAAAATTTCTTGAAATGGGAATTATTAAATCATTAGATAGATACAAAAATTCTTAAATCTATGTCAAGAAATGTTCATTTTTTCATTCTTGACATTGAAGATTTTAGTATATATATCGTTTCTTTTAATCTCAACAATTCAATAGTAATAATTTATCAAAATACATTCATAATTTCCTATCTATCTGATAATTTAATGGTTTCGGTTCCACATAATATTTTAGAAGCCGCAGTTCTGAGTAATTTTTGGAGCTACCGAACTCTAATTATCGGTATTCTTTAGAAATGGGAGAAGCTAAATATTCTGCTGAAATTGCTCTTATCCTCAGAATGATGAACGAAACCTACCGTGATCCAGCCCCTCTCACAATAGATCACCTGCCACTAAACTATTCATCTACGGGTCTGCTCCAATCGTATTAACCTCGCAACGATAAAAATCAGATTTCTATCCAAAGTTTCCACGAAGCTGTAAGAGCCTAGCAGAAAGTCCTTCTAATCAAGAATCTTCGAGCAGAAACATCAATTGAAAATGAGAGGTCGAAATGTTATATAGAAAATGGAAGAACAGTTTATTACAGATGTAACACAGCCAAATGTCGTGGATCTTAATTTACAGCAAGTATTTATCTGCTATATCATTCAGACAGTGAAAAAAGTTACTGTTTATAGAACGAAAACTGAGTATGATAATTATAAGAGCGTGTCGGTGTGAATGAAAAATGAAAATCTATTTGAACCCGTATCCACGTCTAACAAAACTCAATTGATAAGATCTATGTTTTCCACTAATTGAATTCGTAGTTATTTTTTACTTCTAATTATATCTAATTTAAAGTTTTCAAAAACAAACTCAAAAACAAAAAATTCTAATCTATTAAAATTTTATTCATACTTGAGCTGCACCAGCAAGAATACGTAATACAACAACAAATGATGGATGAAATTTAGAAAAAATTGGTAATAATACTGTAGATATTGATGAAATAAATATAAGTATTGCAAGAAAACGTCTTGGACCAAGTGAATTAACTATAACTGATGAAATAATTTGTGTTAATGCATAACCCCAATAGAATGAACCAAGAATGAAACCACGAGTTCGTTTTGGCCAAAGAAGAACTTGATTTGGCTATTAAATATTATATATATATATATATCAAAAAAAAAAATAGTATCGAAAATAAATTTATACCGATCGACTTCTTTCTATTGTATGTTTATGACATGATTCTGGTATTTCTTCTTGATTACTACCAAAATCATTACTATGTGTTGATGTTGTATTGTCTACAGCTGGATCAACCATACAAACGATACTCACACTAAAATAAAATTCATTAAAAAAAGAAAAAGAATTGTTATTGACTTGTAAATATATATATATTCATACGAAAGTCCATTTCGTTGTGCATAACATAGAAAAAATCCAAAAAATGCCAAACAAGCAAGAAATAAACGATATGAACATACAAGTGGATCTGTTATTTAAATATAAATTAATATATACTTTTTTTTTTTACAAAGAAAATATCATACATTTTACTTGAGATGTTCCATTGGTTGTTGTAACTATTTCTTTACTTTTAGTCATGATAAGATTTTATCCTACAAAAAAAAAAAAAAAAAGGAAACATAACACTCATCATAAATTCGTCTAGGATGAAACTTTTCTAACAGAGTTGTAATCGGTAAATAATTCGTATGATTTTTTTTTGTTGAATTTATTAAATTATATTATGAAAACAAAATAGAATAATTGACTATCATTTATTTACTTATATTTTTATCTACTATTTATAGAATCTATTTTGCATTGGTAGAGGAGGTAATAAAGCAAATATTATGTCGGAAACAGATTAAATATATCATGAATTAATAATGTTCATATTTGATAAATAGTTGAAGAATGTAAAAAGGTAATATAAAATTTTTAGTCCTATGAAATTTTTGTGTTCACTAATAGATACCAAGAGAGAGAAAAAAAACCTGTGTCAACAAATAGTAAAAAGCAATCAAAAACAAGATTACTCTTATTAAAATATGATTAATCAAGCGGATGATTTGACTATCATAAAGTGAGAGAAATGAAGAATGACTCATATCCAGTTTGGTCTAACCGAGTATCGATAATGGAAAAACTCTACCGATTCCAATTATGTTTTGTAATCCTTTTTATTCTATGGGATACTTTTGGAAAAACTTTCTTCTTACTCTACACATAATATTAACATGAACTATTGTGACTTAAAATAAAAACAATGCATTCACTTTTTATTACATAATTCTATTAGAAACAACATAACATCCCTAATTTTTATCATACTTGTCTAAAGAGAGAAACTTCAAGAAATTTGTAGAATTATTTATATATCAGTCTTATGCATATATTCTAATGCAATGAAAAAGATAACCTATCATTCAGGTAAAAAAAAACCACAGTTAGTAGATAATAATATTAATCATACCAAGGTTTCGCTCACGTTGCTTGTATTGTTTGAAATAAAAATAAAGTAAAACGATGGTTTGCTGGAGTTATACTTCATAACACAGCCCTTTTATTATTGACTATCTAACACTCTTATCTATGTATTCTGTCTGTATACGTGAATAAATGTTATATGCATTTATCAAAAATCAAAGGGTAAACAATGTAAATAATGCAAGACATCGATATATAGAATGCCCATGAAAAATACCAACAAAATATAAAAATACGATTAATATTTCATACTTGTTTATTTAATAAATACTAAAGTTCAGTTCACCAACCCAAACAAAAATTTTGATAAGCAACATATATATATGATTGAAAATTTACATATAATTTTTTCAATTGTTGTGCTTGATTTTTTTTTTCTTTCCCTAACTTTTTCAAAGTCTTGAAATCCTGTGTGTTTATCATCTGTTCTCTTGAAAAACTGTAATGCAACAGTACCAATAATTCGTATGAAAATTTTTTCGAAGAAAATATTTTTTTAATTTAAAGTAACAAGTGGCACAGAAATTACAAGATATTTTTGTAATTGATTATTGCTATTTTATGTAACCAGTGAAAGCTTCAGAAAAAGACTCATTCGATAGAGACTTTATTTCTCTAAAAAAAAAATATGCTATTTGAAAGTCGCAGAGCTTATGTATATTGGGAACAGTATTCAATATACACATAGATGTATAGGTTAGGAGTAGTGAATGATAGTTAGTCTTTAATTTTCTAATTCGCTTTATCGAAGAGAAATGACCAGATACCGTCATTAGTCAGTTCATGATAATTATCCCAAAAAAAAGTCTTCTAAAAACAGTGAGAAGTCTATATCAGATGAGTACATATATTATTTAATCTTTTCGAGATAATTCATCACACCTATGAATGAAGCATAGTGAAGTAGACGAACTGCTGCTCTAAGCTTTCTGCCAACAACTTCTTGGTGAGGTTAGATATAGAAGAAAAAAATCTAGGCAAAGAAACATCTTGTCAACACCTCTTCAGAAAAAGTTCTGCTAATTCAACTTATACAGCGATCTTTGAATGTTCTCCGCATATCTGTTCACAGTGAACGCTAATGATAGTTTACTGGTCCAGGTAAATCCAAAGTATTTAAAAGAGTTCACTATCGCTATCTTTTGACTTGATATGTAAATATCAACTATAGAATTTTTAATTTGAGAATAAAAAAAGTTTGCCATCCTGTCGCAAACTCTACTACTGTCAATCTCTAAATACTTAATTAGAAAAAGGAATGGTTTTTTGACGGGGTAAGTGACTCATTAATTTCTGCATCATGCTTTATTTGAAATGAATTAAGTTTTTTTTTTAGACCATCTCCTCAGAAAACGATTGCGGACCAGGTATATTCAAATCTCATAAAATTTTCAGGATATGTTAAGGCTCTAGTGGAGAGGTTATGGTAAAAGTTGCAGCCCTATACTATGCTGTTTTCAGGAGACATACGACAAACAAGCGTCAAAAATAGTTTATTTGGCAACCCAAAATTTTCTGTACACCGTCATTCTATATACTTAATTTTCTTTTTGTTTGAAATAGCTTTCTGTCATATCCTGCGCCTTGGCAAGCTGTTTCAAACAAAAAAAAAATTAAATATACAGAATAAAGATCCACAGAGAATCCTGAATTATACGATCACAAAAGCGAAAAAGTTTTTCCGCTTTTTCCAAAAAAGAAAACATATTTTCCAAGTAGAAGGTGACGAAAATCATCAAAAATTTTCGAAAAAAAAAACGAAGTGCAAATATAAAAACATATCGTTTATGAAAGATCAGACCTCGAGCTATCTTTCCACGTATTTATCTCAATTTTCATGTTTTTTGGGTGAGTGAAGCCTTAAGCATTTCACACATTTCTTCATTATTATTGAATAAAGACTAACGTTAAGCATTTCATTTAATTTTAGCATGTTTGAAATATAGGTCCAAAGTAAACAAATACATTCACATAGATCGTCGAAAATCTTCTATTCAAAATAGCGGAAAAAATTTTACAATAACGTATTTTTGCATTTTTTTTTCTATAATGTTAAATATCTACCTCATATCCAAACAGTGATTTTAATAGGCAATAGAATTTTTTATCTAATGCATGCCATGCAGAGATTTCATAGACGAACAATCATGGTAAGGTATCTCAACAAACTGGACACGATAATTCTCAGGTCTGAGAAGCTATTTTCTAACAATGCCATGTTAAAGATCACAAGACAAGGATTCGCCGCATTTCCTACGACCATCCCTTAGCAAGTTAAAAGTATCACAAAAACTGAAAAAAAAAGGCTTTTTGATAAATTTCGGTTTTTGTAATACTTTTAACTTTTTATAGGAAGGTAATAGAAAATGGAGCAATCCCATATTTTGTGCTCTTTAAAATGGCACTGTTAAGAAATAGTTTCTAGAATCTGAAAACTACTGTGTCCAGTTTTTCTTTTTAGAAATCTTGTCATCATTGTTCATCTATGATGTCGTTGTGATAACCAGACAATTCATCGCGGGTATGAATAGGTGCGTGAAGAAGTGTGTGTTAAGGTACACAAAAGATTCGCACTTACACTAACACTCACGACGAATTATCCCAGTGCCAAATTTGGAATATAATGTATTAGATAGAAAATTTTATTGCCTATTAAAATCTTTATCTAGATTTAAATTATATGCTTAAGATTATAGAAAAAAATACATTATTGTTAAACTTTTTTCTATATTTTTGTTTTGTAATATTTTATAAAAAAATTTTTTTTCTCTATACGAATGCCGCTTATTTATTCTAAACAATTATGAATGTATTAGGCAATGTTCGACTATATATAAACACATAGTTTACTAGAAGAATTGAATTTGTCTATAATAAGAAAATCAAAACAAAAAATAACAATGAAGAATAGTTATGTCTTTATATTCATTGTTGTTCTAAGAATAAATTCGTTGAATAATTACTAAAGCCTTGTTCTTCTTGAGTTTGATCGAATGTAAAAAATTTTATATCTTCATTCATTGTTTGATTTTCTATTGAATGACGTTGTTTATGATGAGTATATAATTGAGTTTTATGAAGAAAACCCTTTCGACATACTTCACAACTATAAAAAAAAAGAAAATTTTAATTGTCGTGTTATTTTAAACTAAAAAAAACTATTTCATTACCGGAATGGATATTGATGTGAATGTCGTACAATATCATGATCACGTAAATGTTCTGGTCGAACAAATGTTTTAACACATGCATGACATTTAAATAATCCACCAGATGCTGTATGTTTAGCTGCATGTTGTTTTAATTTATCTTTTCTAAAAAATAAAATTTTTATTTTGAAAAATAATTTATCTAAATTTACCGAGCAAATGCTTGTTCACAACCATCTTCTTCACATTTAAATGGTTTTATATTTGAATGTTTTGTAACATTATGTCGATTTAAATGAAATGTTGTTTTAAATGTTAAATTACAAGTTGAACAACTTTTTTGATTTGGTAAATCTTCATTATGTTGTGTTATAACATGTCGTGATAAATCATTTCGTTTTTGAAATGATTCAATACATATTGTACAACGATAAAGTGCGAGATCACTATGTTTTGCTATATGATTATGATATGAATTATTTGATTCAAATTCAGCTGGACATAATTGACATAAAAATTTATGTGTTTCATTATGCATATGATATTGCAATTGTTCTGAAGTTTGAAAACATGTTTTACATATTCTACAACGATATGTACGTTTACGATGACGATTATAAACAGTACTACGAGTTGAACGTCGAGTACCCATATGTCGTTTTTGACTATGAATACGAGCATGAAGTATATAATCAACAGGTTTATCGAATAATTGAGAACAAGTGTCATTTAAACAACGGAAGACTGGTTGAAGACAATGAACTACAAAGAAATTAAATATAAATATCGAATAATTTTTGATAATCGAAATCACTAAAAAATTCTCACAGAAATTTGATGTAACTGGGATGAAAGAAGGACAGCTAAAGACCATTAGATATGTTTCCATAGCGATGAGAAGGAAATCAACAATCATTGGTTACGTTTCCCTAGCAATGGGAAACGACGCATCGGTAATAACGCTTCTTAGATCATTCTGAAACTTTTTAGAATACTCCATGAATCCAAGATAAAATGATATTCGCCGCTTTCTATGGTGTATATCCTGGAGAAAACAAGTTATGTATTGAAGACAATACAAAGAAGTTTTTTTTCATTATAACTATCTAATAAATTTGTAGAAAAGTAATTCCAAGTGCAAACATTTTCAAAATGATAAAAGTTCAGAGTGCATGTATAAACTATAAAAAGTGTTATCATTTTGATTTGAAATTTTTTTTAAGGAATTATTTTAATATCTCTGATAATATACCATAAATTTATAATACTGAAAGCTTATGGGTTCTACACCTTGGCTTCTCATGGAACCGTGCTCCATCTCAGAAACACTAGGAAAATTAAGTTTCAAATTTTAACTTGAAGCTTTGCAAAAAGACGAGCCTTAGTTAATGAATGATTGATATTAAAAGAAAATAACAAAATCTATAAAAGAATTTTTAATTAAAAAAAATCTTGAAGAGAACCTCCATTATTCTAAAATTTTATCAATTAGCTTTCAACAGACTATATAGCATTGAATATAGTTTTAGGTGCTGATGCCGAATATGTCGTTTGTTTTGTTAAGAATCTATTTCTAGTCAGAAAAAAATCGATTTTACTAAAAAGAAAACCAAGAGTTTCGCGAAAACTTATATCCGAGTTCAGGAACGTGTAAGTTAATCATAATGTCATCAAACATATACGAGATTATTCTGGCAAAGTTTCAAATTCGGCTGTTAAGGGGATGCTCATTTTACTAATATAATTATTTGACAATTCACCGTAGAAAATTTATTTAAAATATATATTAGTTTCGTTTGCCATTACAGTGAATTCTGTAAGAAATTGAGTGCCGTCATATTTAGGCTAGTTTTTCTACTCTATTCAAACTTTGTAACAAAAAATTAAACGCTCTCAAATACTTCATCATTCGAAGTACATATTGCACTAATTGAATCTTGCAACAGTGCATTTCCGATTTTCTACCTAACCCAGGCCGACGAATACGACGTCCGTATTATATGCTCTCCTATTACAATCGCATATCTCCGTGACTATCAGTAATGGGTGGCTCCGACCTTCAGCCGCTCCGCTCCAACGAAAATAAAAGATCATTGTTTTATTGGAAAACTCTGCTTTTTTTTTGGCTCCTTCGCACACTAGCTTTTGTATTAATTAATGATACTCAGATTCTATTTTATATGATAAAAATGAAAGAGGAAAAATTATAGTTCGCGGTGTCCGTCTGATATTTTCTCGCTCCAGCTCCAAGCATTCGTTTAGTCGCTTCGCTCCGAAGTCGGAGCTGCTAATCTCTGGCGATCATATATAGTTTCTGTGTATGAAAGCAATAAACGAGCGTTTTTCTTCTCCATATACAGTCGTTTACAATCATGGCTGTTTGTCTTGAGGAAGCCCACTATGATTAGAATCCAATCCCCTTACGACGGATTATACGAAGCCATGTGTATGCGTGAAACCTTTGATTTGTTAAATGACTTGTTTAACAAAATACTTATGAAATAATGTTTCGACCAAAATCAAACTACAACATTTTCATGGAATATATTTTTTTCTCATAATACTGGATGTTCGATACAATGATTGAATTTTACACAACTAAATACTTGGAAAAAGATAAGACTGGTTTTTTCTTTTTCGGATCATTTCAAAACAATAGAATTTAACAATTATTATATATTAAATAACTTCTATTGGTTGAAATTTTAACAATATTATAAATTCCGATGAAAAACTCTATGAGCCTAAGCTTATGCAGATGTTTTATTTTTAATGGTCTTAATAATTTACAACATACAAAAAAAGAAAACCATATAATCTTACTCATTTTTTTATGTATATTCAATGATGCATTTGAAGCAAATGTAACAGTACATTGTTTACATTCTAATGGTATATTTGATTGTTCATCAAGTAGATCTGTATAACTCGATGATGAATCATCAAAAGGTAAACCAAGTTTCGAATTTGTACTTTCATTTTCATCAATCCATGTTGAATGTTCAAAAACATGATTTTCTAATATTATTGGTGCATCAAATTGTTCATCACATACAGGGCATTCTAATAGACTCATTTGAGATATACCATTTTCAATAAATGAACTTTCTGTAGGATTGGAAACATTTGTATTTATTATTTCATTATGAATAGTATTCTGCTCAACAGGTTGAGAAAATAATAAATCAAATTCATTTGTTGGTGAAACTTCTGTATGAATAGATTCATCAAAAAAATTTGGTGTCGATGAAATAGTTAATGAAACATCTTGAATAATTGCATCTAATTCTTTTTCAAGTAATATTGATGATGAATTATTTGATAAAGGAAATAAATTTGATGATTGTTGAATATTACAAGTAGATCGATGAGTTAGAAAAGTATTTAAATCCGTAAAATTCGTACGACATTTACCACAAATAAACAAATCTTCTGTATTATCACTAACTAAAATTGATCGTAAATTGACTTTCGAAAAAAAAAAGATAAATATAAATTGTACTTACTCATTTTTTAATCATGACTTAATATTGAACAAATAAAATTTCAATTTATTTCTTTTTTTCTTTTTATGAAGTTAATTGATCTTATATAATGAGTAATCTAGTGATGTAAAACATGACGAAAAGTGCGAATCGATGGTGAATGCATTTAATGAAGCGACATCTCGATTTGATGGAAGCATCAGACAAAAAAATTATGATAGAAATGTAGGAAATCAAATGGTATATTCATCTATATATATTATTTTTAGAAAAGATCAGTTTCATACAAAAGGATGACACTACATTACAGTTACGCTCTAATAAAAATATAATAAATTTTACTTGAGAATAATCTAAACGTGAGATGTCGCTAAAATGAATTACCTAATTTTAGTTTATTATAAAAATTTAATATCATAAATAATCTATATCAATGATTTATTTTATATACGGTTAATATTCGCTGTTCAAAATGAGTTTCATCCTAAGTACATTAATGGATTCTACAGTTTAATATTGATATGATGCCTCATACACCTGTATCTAATAGTCTAATTAAAGAAAGTATAATAAAAAGAATTGCGTGGTCAACTTCACCTCGACTACTCAAAATAAATATTTCTACCAATCGTTGGTAATGACGATAGGTGATGATAGAAAGCAAAATTGATTTTTAAAAATTATTCAATTGAAAAATGTTATGAACGAAAAAATACTTGCACATTGTATTTTTGATATAAAATATGGTGTTTATGATTAGAACAAATTTACGTAGATATATATATATAAACACATATGAATAGTACAAGAATAGAGGTTTATAATACGAAGAAAATTTGAGTACAAAGATACAAAACATTGATATACCATCTAGGTTTATTTTTTATGTCCTTGAATAATATTTATGACTCGGTTATTTCACGCTTGATCAACTGTATTCCCTAGAAAAATGTATAATATTGAATTACGTACATAGTGAAGCTGTAGTTCGTATTGTAATACTATTGAGCTAGTGTAGAATCTTATCAAACAAAAAGAAAAAAACTAGAAAATATGACCGATGAAGCATACAATGACTTATAAATAAAACACTCAGACGATGTTATCAATACTTTGTTTAATTTCATTTGTATGATAAGCGTCTACTCTTGTACACGATGGGTAAAAAGTAAAAATGTTTTTTCTAGGAAAATATAACTTAAACTGTAAGAGATGTAAAAGTGAATTTTACATCAAATGAGAGACCATCAAAAACGGAATTTAGAAGTTTAACTGGTCATTCATAAAATGAAAATGATGTATAGAATTATGGAAAGTTTTGAAGATTTGAAGAATATGATTGGACACTCAAAAATAAATAACTTTGGTTGATAAAAAATGATGTTCAGATCAAAATACTGAAAGTTTCAAATTATTCTGGCTAATAGAATTGAAGATGTTTATTAATATATTGACCCTAGTATCGTTATTTATTGATCAAATTTTAACATCTTTTTATCGAAATAATCAGCAAAGAGACTTCTACAAAGTTTAATAGAAAAAAAAAATCTACGAAGACTCTTAGCATTTGCGTCGTTAATCAGCAACTTCCAAGTTTTTTCTATAAAATTCCTCTTTATATTGTATCGTTAGGCGGAAGAGATTATGCCGGGGACAAATTCATCTGAACTATAATTCATTTTTGGTGCAGTTAAAATGTATTATATACTATCAATATATAAACCTCGATAGCTCCCCTCTTTATATATACGTTTGTTAACAAAAGTTAGTCATACTAGCATATGGTGCGATGCTTTTTTTTTTATCATGTGTCGATATTATCTGTTCGTATCATAAAACAACGAGAAAGATATTATCATCGAAGGTAAATAAAGAATGAGAGAATATAAAAAGTAAATGTGAAAGCGTACAATGGTTGAACGGAAATTGATCGATTTGAAAAATAGTCGAAATATGTATAATAAAAGAACAAAAGCTTTTTTTTTTTACTAATGGCTTCAACTCAGATGAATAAGCTAAGTCAATACGAAGGAAAAAGAAAAGATGTAAGACGTTATTAACAAATCACTACAAAGAAGCATATGAACTAAAATATTTTGATCTATAGATTTTCATGAAGTGATATCAAAAATAATTCTGATAGAAAAGTGAAATGAAGAAGGATGTTAGTGTATGGAAGGTACAAGAAGATCCTTACCGATACCCAAATTCACATCCTACAAAGCTTTTATTTATATTGTACTGGTACAATGAACTATAATTAATAAATATCAATAATCATTCAAATAGTTAATTGTACCTTTTAATAATAATAGCAAATTTAAAAATTCCAATTCTAGCAAATGTTATATCCATTGATAGGTTTTGAATGTGGGATGTTTTATTGGTTAATGATAATCTTCTCATGTCGTAAATTTTTTTGCACTACGGCCGGTAGCGTCTTAAATTAACCGAGAAGAAAACAATTTCAGAATATATTTTACTAATGAAAATTTTTGCAGCACTATCTATAATAAAAATTTATTGCATAACGGGGGTTGATTTGAATTCTATGGCTAGTACAAGCAGCTCAGATACATTGATATGAACAGTTTGTGTTGAAAACGACTCGATTCTGTTAGTTTTAACAAATTTAAAAAATACTCAGTCGTTTTGATACAAGACACCATAATACAACACTTTCATATAAATACCGCCGGTAGTTATCACATGAAATATCCTGATAAGAAATGCCATATTTCATACTGTTTAGATAGTTAAAATACTTAATAAGTACAATGTCTATAGTAGATGTGAGTAAAATGGTTCCTGTGCGACTAGAATGAATTTTTTGTTTTTAACTGGCACATGACCAACACTTTTTCATTAGGAACGATACCGTTTATGGTCGTGTAAAGCTTACATCGAATGTCATATTGCCACGACTCATGTGTTCTAAATTGATACGGGTAAGATGGTCCGGTACATATCTAGCCCATAGTAGGGATTTGCAGTATTGATGTAAATACTGACAGTGAGTCATCGACACAAGGTCCACTGATATCCACGTTCGCTACAATATTGAGGCGCTAACTCAATCAAAATATGCCTTTTTTTGTAGCGGAGTGTTCCTGCGCTTCAGTGAACATTGAATTGGTGATCAGTAAACTGAAACTATACATCCCTAGTCTATAGATAATATTAACTTCTTAATCTTTTTGATGACTTATTCTAAATGAATAGAATTTAATAAGATATTATTTTGTATACATATATTTTTTCTTTTTGAATCCTTTGAACATATGTATTACATACGCACAATTAAAAGAACAAAAAAGAAAAGAGAGCACATGAATAAACAAACAAACACACTGATACGCAAATAAACTCATAGAAATCAAATGAGAGACAAAAAAAATATATATATATATATTAATCCAGTGTCGTTTCTATTTTTTCTGAAGTATTATTAATTAGAGTTTCAGATTTAGGTTCATGTGTAACAGATAAGAATGGAATTTCGTCAGAAACAATTTCTGTATTCATTGATTCTTCTTTTGTATTGATCGGTAGTTGTTCAACATTTTCAACTGGTTTAATATCTTCTTTTTTTACAAATATTGTTTCAACAAGATTAACAAATGATATAGATGAAAGATAAGTTGGTTCTGTTGAATCATCAAACGTTGATGAACCTTCAGCTACAGTATCATCATTATCAGTTTTGATAGTCGTTGTAGTATCAATAGTTGGTATATCGGATGAGAGATTACTAGTTCCATCCATAGTCAGTTTTGATGATGCCGATGTAGTATCACCAGAAGACAAATCAGTTGCTGGTACTTGTTCATTCGTTGTCTATTTGAAAAATAAAAACATTCGTTTTATCTTTTAGTGAATACAATAAAAAAAACATTTCATTTGAAAAATCAGTACAAAACTTTTAGATAGTAGAAAGCTGCCATTGCTACCGTTTAATAATGTAAATTAGGTGCTGTTCATATGCTTAAGAAATGAAGAAGAGTTACATGTATACGTAAAAACTCCATTTTAGCGTTTCTTGTAATTATCTTAGGTTTTTTAAGAAAGGACAACTCTTAACGTTTATAGTCTTCGAAAAAAAGTAGTATTACTTAGGATTGACCAAAAGTTCCAAGCGAACTTTATCGAATAAGGTAACCTATTGAGAAGTGAAAAACCAAATATCCGATGTTGTAGAGCTTTTTGAAGCGCGCCGAATGATATTTTAGTAAATCCTGTTTTCATAAGACCTTGAAGGATCTACAGTCAATTTACTGATAGACGACTACACACTCACACTGACAAAATGATCGGAAATGCTACGTATATGAAGTTGTAGCCCTTCAAAAACTCTACAAAATCATATGTGAGAAAAAATATTTCACAAATATTTTCGACTAATACTAAGAATCAAAATATTCAGTAACCTATCTTACTTGGGTATGTAATCGCCCATCAGTGAATTGATTCTAGTTCCTTCAAAGTCTTATGAACGCATGAGCAGATAGCTCAAGATCTGATCTTTCATAGACAACATGACTTTTTATTTGATATCTCGTTTTTTTCCAAAAGTTTAAAATGATTTTCATCATCTTCTGCTGGAAAACTATGCTTTTTTCATCACGCAACTCAGAATTCTTGGAAGAGCTTCATTGTAACTAATTGTTTTTTTTTTGTTTGAAAGAGAAGACCATGAAGCAGGAACACGGCAGGGATCGTTTTTTGAATTAAGCTTTGTTACTATAACATATTGACTACTTGTGGAAGTATCCATCAAAAAATACGATTTGCAAGCGTAACACATAATTGAAGAGAGATAACTCGAAAAAGTCCTAGTCGTCGACGAAATAAATAAAAAAAAACCGAGTATTGAAGAATTTTGTTTTTTTTAGATGTGATATAAATAAATTCTGGAATAGTTTTTTTTTCTAGAACGAAATTGAAGTTAACATTAAGATTTTTTTTTTACCTCATATCTAACATCTTGATAACAAATTGGATGATAAGTTTTTCCATCAATTCGAA